GCCTTTACACCACTCTGACCACGTTTTCTGTCTGCAGTGCAACGCCCAGCGGTATGCGACACCTTTTACGTTTCTATAAATATGTGTAACATCTTTTAACATTATGACCACTTATTATTTTTCATCATAGCACATCCTGAACTGTGGCTAGAATCGGTATCTGGTACTTTTGCATTTGTCTCTGTAAACATATTTATGCTAATATAATGTGCTATTGACATGGCAGCAACTACTACACATAACTGTGGTTTGATTTTACATGTGTGCATAACTAAGGAGTACTTTGTAACATTTCTGGTGGAGGGTCTGCCACCTGCTTATCTCCATGAAAATATTATTGCTTTGTCTGGAATGTTTCACAGTATTGCATTAAACCTTTTATCACCAAACCAAGCTACAGGTCAGATCTGTGAAGTGGCAACCCCGCTCACAGTCAGAATGCCTGTTTTTCGATGTATTTTTGAGCAATAACTCAATCTGTAATTGAATTACTGTAAGGTAGATGTCATACTGTGGAACATTCCAAGCAGAGTAATGACATTTTCATAGAAACAAGAATGTAATGGACCAACTACCGAAAAGTAACACAATGCACCTTTAAGCTGTTACCAGTATTTGTAAAAAAAAATCATGTCGGTTGCATGTTTGAGACTCGATAACAGAGAAATTGTCATTCTGTTAATATACCAAATTTGTATTTGTGTCTAGCTCATGGTTTTGTCCTTTGCTTGTCCTTCAGGTTGTCAGGTGGAGTCGTTCCCCTGTGAGAGGAAGACATTAGAGACAGTCAAAACGCTGCAGGGAAACTTCATGTGCTGGAAAGGCTCCAAAGGCTTCTCTCCATACACGTCTCTCTGCCCATTCTACAGGTGAGAGGAGGACAAGTAACTGAGCCAAGAAACAGCAATTCCTTTTTAAAGATTTTCTGTACTTAAGCAAAACAAATGTAAAGAATACAAATTTATTGAGTTTTAAAGAAAACTAATGGATTCTGATCGCGTAGTTAACATTGTTTACTATGTAAAACTAAAGTGTACCTTACTTGTTTTTTAGCTATAGCAAGGCTTATAAAAGACATCAGACAGTCTGCCATCGAACTATTTGCCCAGGTAATGCCTATGTACATGTTCACCCAATCAGTAATAATATAATTTATACATGTTTACATTTTCCATTTATTTCTGCAGATCCTTGTGACTCCCAGCCATGTCTGAACGGGGGGACCTGTGTGTCTGAGGGACCAGAGGGGTACCACTGTGTGTGCCCCCCTGGGTATGGAGGACACCCGCACTGTGGTTAGTGGCACTGTGGACATTTACAGAGATAACTGTTTTTTTTTTCTAATTTTGTAATCATTACCAACTTGTTTGCATATTCTAAAAATGCTAATTTGTTAGCTAGTGTTCTCACAATCTTAAAATTACACATTTCATTTTAATATTAAGGAAAATGCTTGATGCTGACTGTGATTATGTACTGTGAAATTATGAAACACCATTTTGTTGTTCAACAGAATATTATTATTTTTTATACAAAATAAGAGCTCTTTATGTAATATCAACATTATGTGGTCTTATATTATTGCTGATGTAGATCTAGATTCTAGACCTTTACAAGAAATGTCCAAAGTAGTACTTCCTGCTTGAATGAATACCTAGTTTGAATAATAGTTTGAGGATTGATTAGTATCTGCGTATTGATTATTATCACATTCCTACTGTCAGTCCCACCATTGAGCATGATGTCCTATTTGAAAGACAACAGGAATTTCAGATTTAATACATGAAACCACATAAAGATGCTAAAGCACAAACTGAAGTTACTAATGTTCCTCTTCTTTTTAGCTCCTGCCATCTCTCTGGATTGTTCGGTCGACCTGCTCTTCTTATTGGAGGGATCATCCACATTAACACTGGAAGGCTTCCTCCGACTCAAGTCCTTTTTAAAACGATTCCTCCAAACTGTGATGGCCAACGATACTCCCAGTAAAATTGGCCTGGCTGTATTTGGTGGAGAGACCAAAGTTGAAGCCCAAGTCGGAGCATTTAAGGGGGATGTCAAGGGTCTTCTCCGAGCTGTGGATGCTCTTCAGCCAGTGGGAGGGGAGGCCAAGACTGGACAAGCTCTCCGCTACGTCACACGCCATGGTTTTCTAAGCCCGCAAGTTTTCACAGATGTTACAGATGATTTGCCCAGAGTTGTGGCCCTGATAACTGCTACCCCCTCCGCGGATGACGTAGTGGAACCATCCAAATATGCACGGGACAGGGAGATATTTATGGTTGGAGTTGGCCCAGAAGATTTAAAGGGACAACTGAACAATATTACGGGAAACCCACAGAGGACGCTCACGTACTCCACACCGGACTGGTTCAATGCGAAGATACCAGAGCTAAAGGCCAAGATCTGCAGTGTGGACATTCAAGGTACTTTGAAATAAAAAAATATATATATACATATATATTACATTAAAGAAATTATGTAATAAATTTGTTAGTAATTTCACAATCAACAGACAAAACTACAATTTGAGAAAAATAAAAGTTTACAAAAGCCATATCCTGCTGTTAAGAAGTCACTGTGATCAGAATCTTAGTTTTATATATAAAGTGCTAATTTTACTGCAGTCATAATAATCATATAATCAACAAGTCAACAACATTTCCCCTGCTAAAGTCTGACATGTACATTATATTCAGACTTTTTGACAGACACCAGTGAATGCATTTATCAGTTCGATTTATCGCAATACCACATCTCAAGATATTATAGTATTTATAAACTTGGCTAATGTGTAATCCTTTAGCATTTGTGAGTAATAATGATATCTGCGTGTTTTATAGGTTGTTTGGGCCAAGCTGTAGACCTCGTATTCGCCGTGGACGCCTCTGGAGGTGTGGGCAAAGATAACTTTCCCTCTCTGCGTGACTTTGTGAGCAGCCTCACCGTGCAGTTCGACATCAACCGTGATGTGGCACAGATGGCACTGGTCACTTACGGGCGACGCGCTGGGACTATCTTTAATCTGGACACGCACGAGACCGGCTCTTCCATCCTCAAAGCTGTGCAGGAGGCAAACTACATAGGAGGCGTGGCTTCTACTGGTGCTGCTCTCCTTCACGTCCACTCCAATGTCTTGACCGTGGCCAAAGGGGCGCGGCCGGGGGTCAACAAAGCCGTGGTGGTCCTGACCGATGGGTCCAGTGGGGAGGATGCGGTGGTCCCGGCGCAGAAGCTCAGAGACAATGGAGTTTCTGTGTTTGTGATTGGAATAGGGGACGTGCAGAGGGAGAGGCTGCTGCCCATCGCTGGGTCAGAGGAGCACATGATCTCTGTGTCATCCTACGATGATCTGAAGTACTTTGAGGACGTGCTGGTGCAGATGGTGTGCACAGGTAAAGCAGTTCTGTCAGTTCTGTTGTTTTTGAAATATCAATGGGTAAATTTACCTGGTCAGTAAAAAATTTGACAACTAGAATAATCACATAACCCTTTTGTACACACAACATATTTTTGGTTAGTGTTTCATCTTTTTTATGTTTCATAGTGCACTTTGAGCTTTTTGCATATGTTTTTCAAATGTGGTTAACTACAAATGGCAAATAAACTAACCTAACCTACTTGCACCAAAGAAATAAAAATAAAAAAGATCAAGATGTCATGTCAGTTAATCAATGGGTTTAGAGTAATTGTATTTGGAAGACAAAGTACAATTGATTTCATTTTCAATATTGAAATATACTATTTAACTATATAAATATATATATAAATATTATACTTATTAAATATTTAAGTCTAAATATCCTCAAATAAAGAATGCATTTCTCTCTGTCTTTAATGACTTGATCACTTCTTGATTATGAGTGGTAATTACTGAATAGTCAAAACAGAACATTATACATTTCAGAGGTGAAAAAGCCAGTGAACCTGTGCAAGCCCAACCCTTGTATGAATGATGGGCTCTGCATCACACTGACTGGAGGAAGCTTCCGGTGCCAGTGCCAAGGCTACGAGGGACCACACTGTGAAACAAGTCAGCCCAATTATATTATATCATTTTAGTTTGTTTGTCTGTGGCCTTGATGTATTTGTTTTATTATTTTCTATGTTTGTGTTTTTAGAAAGCAGCAGGTCATCCAGAGGAGATCAGCCCAAACCTGCAGGCCTGAAGAAGAAGAGTCGACAGAAGAAGAGCCATAAGGAGCTGCTGCATCACTACAAACAGCACCGCAGACAGAGACGCACACGCCAATGAGAACACAGACACATGGACATTATTTTATATAAGGGAGTTAAAGGGAAAACATGCTACTGTTATTGTGTTATTTAAGCCTCCACTCAAGTGCCTTGATTTTCTATTAAACTACTGAATACGTCATAGCTCACTGTATAAATATATGTATTTTGTATGCAAACAACTAAGACTGAAATATATGGTGCCAAAAAAATACATGTCCAATTTTCTCTTCCTTCCGGGGTTATTATCAGTAATTTCACTCCTCCCGATGGCCTTCATTTATAAGACCTATAGACATACACAAAGAGTACACTATTACTACTGCCTAGGGTGACCAGATTTTCTAAATTCAAAACTGGGACACACCCTGGTTGGAGTGGTATAAATGAAACTGTGAAAAGAGCGCGTAACATTGTCTATTCTCGACTCACTTGTGGGTCAGTCTATACTTGAGGGACTTCCGTCGGTGCACTTTGTTGCCTTATGGTCATTTTCAAGCACTGGACTTCTGTTTTTTAGCTAAACAAATGACAATTTATTATCTTTGTTGTTGGCAAAGATCACACTGGTCAAAAATAGGGACACCGGGGACTTTACTTGTAAAAAAAACTGGGACAAATCACTGGTTTTGGGAAAATCTGTTGGGACGCCAGGTCACCCTATTACTGCCCCATGTGAAATGTGACAAGACACTTAAGTTAATAATTTGTTAGTGATGTCGAAAACTGTTAACATACATAAAAGTTAGACCAGGGTTGTTATCAGTATATTTTATTTGAATAAAAAGTGCATTTTAGCTAGCAATACAAGCCAATGGCTAATGGTCTAAATATATTTACATCTTGGCTACCAGCATATATGAACCAAGCTACAATCTAAAGTGTACAAAGAAACATTTCAAGAGGAAGGCTGGTTTCTATGTCTTTAGTGGCCATAAACCCTTATTGAAATCCCAATGTGGAAATGGATGAAACAGTAGTTACTGGCTACATTTACATCACACCAGTGTTGTCCAATGGCTCTGGATCAGACAACATTTTGACCACAACAGCTGTTTGGAGTTCAAGGGAGATACTGTACAAGAAATCTGTCAAACATTGCATCCTTATTGTTGGTGTTACATTTGCCAGAAAACCGCAGGTGCAGGGGGCATTTCCAAGTTCAGGTCAATGTTGAGTGGAGCAGTGGTTGAATCCAACAGATGAGCAGCTGTAGCTCTGATGAAGTATAAGTCTACCATCTGTTTGTATAATGTTTATATTAGACTGGTGGTCACAACTTGTCTGATCTGTGAAGTAATGTAAGGAGCTTTGACAATGTTATCTTTCGCAGTTCATAGGAATTTCAAAGATTCTCAAGTGGTTGACATTTTCTCCCATTCCTGTCAAGATATAAACAATTTTAGTTACTGTAGATCATTTTATCATTTATTTTGCCATATGAGTGATTTTGAATAATTAGTTAAATAGTTAATTGGTCAGCTAGTTTATTAGACTAACCTTAGCTTTCTGTAGAACTTTGCCTTTTGTTGCCATTATAGAGGCCGGTCTGTTTTTCAGCACTGATGCGGAGTTGACAGGAGAGGCTGGATCTCCACTCACAGTACTGTTGGAAGCTTTGGGCGTTTGGTATGGGGATGATGATGATGTGGACAGGTGCACAGATGGTGGAAGTGTTGCAGTTTTAGACTACAGACAAAATGCAGATGTGAGATCAATAAATGTGTTTATGGAAGAAAATAGTGTAGTTGAGCTTGTATACAGGCAAATGCAGCTGTTGCTTAACTTTTTTTTTTTGGAAAAAAAAAAAAAAAAAAATGACCTGGTTCTTTAAATTTTGTATTATTACTTTTTTTTTTTTACTATTCAAAGAGTAAGGATATGTTTTTTGGATGGTTTGGATAAGTATTTTTAAACCTTTTCCTAACAGAGATCAATAGCTCAAAATGTGTTTCTTCAATTTGAGAACATCCTGATGATACAACTGTATTTTTGTTTTAGTTTTATTATACTGATTTTGTATCAATAGTTACACAGTAGCTAGCCTTTAATGGTTGGGTCTGAATGAATAAAAGAATGGAATTAATTTATGGAAATTTTTAGTTATTGTTAGCCTCATAGCATATTTTTTTTTTATGATTTCTGCAAAATACCAAGAACTAGCAAACTTTGCTATGTGTCCATAAGATGACTGATGCAGTTTGTGTTTTCTTGGCCATAAAAATCTTTCTAACTGGTCAAGGATGGAGCCAATGACACAATGAGATAGAAAAACTCATTTTGGACAAAAAAATGACTAGAGCAGTTATGCTGTGAGGCTAATATAACCCGACTTGGGTGTGTACTGTTGAGCTGTATTCTATGAGCTCATATGGGCTGTGGTCCTGACCGTGTCCTGGAGGTCCAGTGTGGTTCCCAGGGTGAAGGGTCCGGACTCGGCCTTCTTCAGATTCTCTTTCACCTCCACCAGTTGCAGCTCCACCTCCACCCTCCGCCTCTCTGCCTCCCGGCTCGCCTCATCCATCTGCTTTAGACGGGTCTCTAGTGCAGCTTGCTGTTTGGGGTCTGACCAAAACATAGCAAGAATGACAGTAGGATTTTAACACTACTGACACTTGCAAACTTGTAACAGTGTTAATGTATATGTTCTTTGCTGGATGTTAAAGCTTTCCTATTTATTTAATTGCATTTTTTGTTAATATATAAATTTGGATTTATTCAATTTACTGTTGTGTATTTAAAACACAAAAGTAGGTATTTTATATATTTATCTTATTATATATCTTTTAAGGTAAAGTTAAACTATTTTATTTGGTTGAGGTATATCTTTCAGATGTACCTTGGCATGCAGTGAGCTCCTCTTTGACTTCGCTCCTCTCTTTCTTCAGTTTGGCCAGACTGCTCCTCACCTCCTCCCTCTCTCTCTCCAGGCGCTCTCGCTCTTCCCGGTATCTCCTCAGGTCAGCTTCAGTGCGGTTCTTCCCCAGTTTACCCTCCACTGTGCTATGGGAACCTAAAAAGACATGAATATACACACAAATCAGTATCTTGTTTCATTTGAGTCTACTGATCTGCCTTTGAATGTAAGTATATGCAACAGCCACTAGATGGTGCTATTGCAAAGTGAAAACATATGACGCTAGGGGTTTCTAACAATACACTGCCTTAAAAGGCTAAATGTAAACAGCAGGTTTGTCAGTTTCCTAGAAGCAACTTTATATTTTGTTTCTTGAGAAAAGAGAGTAGTAGTAGATTAGAACCTATATGAGTACAATCAGTAGTATCAGTAATTGCATAAGTGTTATTAATAGATGTACCAATGCATATTCTTTTCTTTAAATGAGTGGAATTAGGCCTAATTTAGTAAAAGTGTTTTGAAATTGCAGTACTTTAGTATATACCTTAAATACTTTGTAAAGGTCTATATCAAGTATGTTAAAAAACAATACAACATATAATAATATATATAATAATATAATCAGCATAAATGTTGAACAAACTTGGACCCTGCTGATCCTCATGCATCACATTGTGGTATTTCCTCACCTACAGAATGAGTCTTTGGCCTCTCTGCCCCGTTCATGTTTTTGGCTCGGGGTGTTTGAGGGCTTTGATGTCCTGTGCTGCTTTGGCCTGGCGCAGCTGGACTCAAGAAGCTTTTACTGATCTGTCCCACGGTGCCCCTCCTCAGACTCTCCTGATTTTGGGGCGATGACTTCAGTGTTTTTTCCTGTGACTGTGATGGGACTTGTGTTTGGGAGGGCTCCTCTGGGGTGTTTGGTTCATTTAATACTGGCACTGTTTCAGATGGGGTGGGTGTGCTGACCTGTAATCATTCAAATATGTGATGTACAAATGTTACACAATGTCACACAAAAACTATTTTCAGGTCTATGTTATGTTGTTTCTTCATCAAAAACATATCTGGTATTGTGTTTTGTTTAATTTGCACAAATCCTGCTTATTTAGTTCTTCTCACAAACAGAAAACACTCCACTTTGTGATGTCATGTGTAATACAGGAAGTGTTTCACTGTGTTAAACTACATACACTTTCACACACTACTTCATACACCTTCACAAGAATCATTTGGATAATTTTGTTAAAAAGTAGCTATTAACTTGAAAAGTACAGCTTCATGGTGGAACAGAGCATTTTCAGTTCTGGAGATGGAGACTAATGATGCAGGATTACTCAAACATGTGATTGAAACAAAACACATCTCTGCTCTTTCCATTCACATTTTACAAATTCTTGAGTTTGCAAATTTACAACTTTGACTTGTACAGTATATTGTATTCAGTTTAACAGTGATATCAAATATTAGTTACTACTTACCTCTATGGGCTCCTTGTGTTCTTCTATAGGCTCTGGGACAGTGACAGTGTCTTTGGCAGGTGAGTTCTTTCCACTCGTGTGTAAGAAGGAGCGTACAGGTATAAGGTCCAGGTAAATACTGCTGTCGGCATCTTCTGCTGTACCATTTGTGCTTTTTACACTTTCATATGTGTCACTGTTTTCACTTGTGTCTTTTTCTGTGGGTGTGTCCTCATTGTGCAGGGATTCAGTCTCTTCCACATCCTGAGAGACAACAGGACAAACATGTGACTAGAGTACTTAAGTTCTAGATGAAGATTTCATTTGTAGGGGAAGTTTAAACGTTAACTTTTATTTTTATATAATCAGAATAAGAATTTGAAAAAAATCTATATACATGAGGAATATATATATAAGAAATAATAACTGGAACAAAGCAAAAATACTCAAATGTAGTGTAAAAGTATAATAGATCAGAACAGTGCAGAAACATATCTAAATTTTTTTTTTTTTTTACAAACTAGACTTTGAAGTCACTCGATAACTGTTATGTTTTACTCAAAGTAAATTCTGGGTATAGTTGATGTTACTTGCAAAGTACAAAATTTTTCCTTTTGTACACATTCAAGATATTGCACAATCCTAGACATGAGTCCTAGACATGGGTTTGCATCACATTTTCTGTTATGGTACAATCATGACAACAGCAATGGTCTGAATTGTTAATTACTATAGCAACAGTCCTACTTTTTCATCACTTGTAACCCATGGATACAGCTTCTACT